TCCCCCTTCACTAAAATGGGGGTGTCCAGCGCTTGACACATCTGGTCTGCAGGCTGTGAGTTTGACACCCGTTACAGATCAACACATCTGGAGGATAGATTGTAAGTCCTCATTGATCCTTAAATGAATTAAAATTCACATACTAAATTTGTTTGTGTCAAATGGGTCTTGTGAAACTGGATCATCTTGGTGTGGGACAATCTTCCCAGATACTGATGATTGATCTGTAGTTTCCTGGGTCTGTTTCCCCCCCCCATTTTTTTTTTAAAAGATAGGAACCACTTCAGCTCTTTTCCAATCCTCAGGTAATTCCCTGGTGTCCCAGGATTTTTGAAAGATGTGGTACAGTGGTTCTGAGATAACATCTGCCAGCTCTTTTAGAACTGGGATGTAATCCATCAGGTCCCAGTGATTTATATTTGTCAAGATCAGATGGGTGTTCTCTATCCATTTTCTTGCTTATTTTAATTTTTACAATATTTCTAGTCTGTCTTTTACAGTTACGTTTTTGGTAGGTTGGGCTATGGTTTCTTTTTTGCCTGAAGACTGATGCAAAGAACGAGTTAAACAGTTCTGCTTTCTCTCTGCTGCCTGTTGCTTCCTTGCCATCTTCTCTCTTAAGTGGACCTACTGTTTCCTTGACTTTTTTCTTGTTATTTACATATTGAAAGAAACTTTTTAAAAAAATTATCTTTGACTTATGGGAAGCCTCCCTCCCCAGAAGAATGGAATATTTTGGTAAATATTAAAAAGGCAGGATAATATATTTCCCCTAAAGGAGAAATAAAAAAATCTTAAAGGAGACAGAAACCAGTCCCAGTCTCCCTGCCCCAAAGCAGAAACTGAGGTAGCCAGCTTTTGAAATGCAGATTTGGTAACCCATTCAAATCTGGATATTTTGAAACTCCTTGGCAGAATGGTAGGATTAGAAAGCAGCCCCTCACCCAAGATCCAACACAGGATGAAAGCCATTAGCTACAATAGGAATTGCCCAACACCCTTACAGAACACAAGGCCCTTCATTGCGCCATCCCCGGAGCAGTCCAAACTTCAAAGTCACAGAAACCTATAAAGATCCATCCACTCATTCAACCATTTTGTCAGCTGTCCAGAATCACATGTGGTTGGTGGTTCTGCTTCATCAATAAACCTTTCTTTCCCATCAGCCTCCATGTTTCCAGTGTCTTTCTCCCAGCTTGGAATGGAACCAGATGGATTTTCCATCCAACAGACTTGTGTTGCAAGACTTTGTTCATTCTGAGCTTTTGCTTTCCTGACTTCGTCTTTGCAGATTCAGGCTATCTGCTGGTACTCTTCCTTAGAGACCGGTGAATCAGGCTTTCCCCACTGACTTTACTAATCAGAAGCCCCCTGGGAAGGTTCGTAAATGGTGATCACATTATCCTGGGATGCTGCAACTATTGTAAGTACATACCAGTTGCAAAGTGCGTGAATTTTGATCGCATAACTACTGGCATGCTGTGCATAACTACAGCATAACTACTGGCATGCTATGACTGCTGTAATTGTGAGGACTAGTTTTAAGTACCAGTACTTTTTTCAGTGCAGTTATTAACTTTGAATGGTTGTAAGTTAAGGACTACCTGTACCAATCTTTGGTCCCTATGGCTCTTGGCTTCTAATGTGAAGAATAATGAAGCATTTTCTATATCTGCCAACTGGTTAAAGGAAGAAATCCCACCTCAACACATGACTTAGAGAAGTGTCACTTTCAAGCTTTGAATGAGATGACTGTAAAGTCATGGGGACCCAGTCAAGAAAAAGAGATTGCTGGGCTTATTTGTGTTACACTTTAGTGCAACTGGAAGGGCAGCTCTGTTTCTCCTGTGTAAAAACTGAAATAACAGTAGCAGAGTTAGGACGGACCTTGGAGATCATCTAGTCCAACCCCCTGCTCATGCAGGAGATCTGTACTAGGGATTCAAACCGCTGAACTGCTGACCTTTCTGATTGACAAGCTCAGTGTCTTAGCCATTGAGCCATATTACTGAAGGCTTGAATTTGGCTCTGCAAAAACAAGCAATTCAAATGAGTACAATCACAGACTTGAAACATTGCCAAATGATTCAAAGACCAGATTATGCAAAGTAGAAGAAACAGCAGACTACATACTCAGTTCATGCAAAAAGATTACACAAACTGATTATAAACAACATAACACAGTTTCTAAAATGATTCATTGGAACATCTGTAAAGATTACCATGAGCCAGTAATGAAAAATTGGTGGAAAAATTTCATATAAATGAAGAAAAAAAAAAGCTGAAAATAGTGCAGGGCTGCCTTATACAGACTCAGAACTTTGGACCCGCTGATTTTTCACCATCTATCTTTGGCTGACCTGGTATTGGATTATAGCTGTATCATCCCTGACTGCTGGCAATACTTTCTGGAGCTACTGGAGTTCCAGTTCAACATCTTAAATGGCAACAATGCAGAATTGTTCCCCCCCCCCCACACACACAAAGTTTCAGGGTAGATTTTCCCATCTTTAGTTGGAGATGCAACAAGAGACTGAGCGGACAATCTCAAAGGTTTAAAAGATGTAAGTGAGCCAGTATTTGCAGGGTTTTCTGCATTCTAAGACCTCCATGAAAAAAGGCAATATCAATATGTTCCAACATATTCTATGCCCCTCTGAACTCAGTGGACAGAGCAATGGTCCACTGTGAAAACTGTCATATCCATGTCGATCAAGCCGCGTCTTCATGAGAGGGAAATGCCCTTTATTATATAGATAGACCCCAGGTGCTAGAGAAATCCTGTGGTTGCTTTATATCCCAAGAGAGATTTCCAGGACCCATGGGGGGCAGGAGCGTGGACCAAGAAAGGGAGATAAAGGGACCTCTCCAGAACCTCTGATTACAGCACATTTTTGAGAAGGAATTTCCAGGAAATACTTGAAGCAGACCACTGCATTTGCAGATTTTCTGTTCTCTAGAAGAATGGGGGGAAATTATAAACTAAATTAAAATTGTTTTTTTTTCTATGCAATAACATTTCACTAAATTAGGAAAGTGGATGTTTCCTATCCCGGACATCAGCTTTCTTTCACCTGTGCATGATGAATATTATATTAGGATCTTCTTGGAATCTCTGTATTAATTTGGAATTTTCTAGTCCAGCCTTTGACACAGAACTGTAGTAGATCAATCCCCTCTTCTGGTCTACTTGGGGCATCATTGTTTTTATTTCAATCAAACTTCTCTTGATCTATACTTGAGCTCCTTCACTTCTAAATACTTGTATCTTATGATAGGGGGAACAGCTTTTTTTTTCTTTTTAATAAAGAAAATGATTTGATTACTGATTGCAGGATTAATTTACTTCTCAAAAGTTGAGTGGGACAGGAAGGGCTGAAAGCTATAATCATATATTATGTGCCACATGACCAGAAAATTGTAATGTAGAAATGGTTGAATTATTCTCATCAGAAGAGCAACACATGTGATGAGAAACCTCCTTTACTAATTGGAGTTAGGGAAAAATACTAGGTAAGGCACCTGGAAGACATGACAGTGGAAGCAGTAACTCCATGCAGCTGGCTGAAAACAGGAAGTGGATTTAGCTGTATAAAATCAGAGGGGTCCATCCTTTCACCCTTTGGGCTCAATTGTTCAACTATCACGATGATGGTCCATGATATTTTATAGGGTAGAGGTGATCCAAAGGAAGGAGTACTTCCAGATGAAATGTAACATACTGTACCTATGCTGTGGCAGAATATGCCTGAGAATATGTAAAGTACGAGTCTTCTGGGGAACAGATGACATGAAGCAACATCCTGAGGGTGCACGTTTCTGAATTTTCATATCTTACAATTTGCTTGATAGTACAGTCTCAATGGTAAGGAGTGCAACAGTACTCTGGCCTGACCAGCCAAATACCTACAAATGAGGGCAGAGGGAGCCTCTCTATCCCTTTCCTGTAGCTAAAAATACTAAAAATTTGAGTTTCAGTCAACAGAAGAAATTTACTATTACAGAATTGTTACCAAACTATTACTATGTTGCAGTTAATATTCAAGAATGAATTGTTTTCCATGCATTGTGTTTGTGACTTTCAACCTGACTATTCCCTGCAGAATGGTTACAACTATTTATAATAAAATACATCCTCTTGTTTGATAATTCTAGAGCATATCTTCTCTATTTTAGATCGGCATGGATTAAAATCAATTCTCCCAAGATATGGAAAATTGCTGGGCTAAAAAATGAGCAGTCACATCTTCAGATAACTTTCATCTTCCATCAAAATGTCTTTCAGAAAGTGTCATCTCTTCCCCTGACTCAAACTTTTTTTTTAAGGGGAACTTTTATTTGGGTTCCTTAACCAATTAGCTTGGTGGCTTGGTACTGCTAATTACAGATATGCAACGAGCAATAAGGATGCCAAATATGCTAGCTCTTTCTTGTATACTATTAATTTATGAAAATAAATTAGGCAGGAAAGAAATTACTAAAAAGACAGAGAGGAGTCATTTGATTGTTCTGGAAGACTATTATGATGAAAGGAATTATGATGGCTGAATGGATTTCAACCACCTGGCCACTGCTGCTTCATGTATCAACAAGCAGAGATCCTTTTTAAATGACTAAGCAGATACATATTAGATTCCTTGCATTTTTGTTTTAAAAAGGCAATAATCGCAAGATGTTCCTGACATAAATAAAAAAATGTTTTTTTGCCCTGGCAAAACATTATGGTTGTCAATCATGCTGTTACAGATTCACATAAACTTCATTCCTCTAAAGTTTAGGTTGTATAAAAGGGGTTGATCAACCTTGATGTAAGATTATCTAATAAAACCTGAACTTGCTCGGGTGACTTGTCCACCTGCAGGTCCAATTCCACTGAATTAAAACCAAGATATACATTAATGCTACTCTGATTACGTTTAACAAGAGAGATGATGATGAAACAATATGGGATAACTGTGAATTAACAGGACAAAAAGCAAACAAAAGGCTGGATTGCAAAATAGCATTAGAAGCACCAACATTTTTATAGAGTCTTTATGTAACCTTGATCACAATTTACATACAGAAAAGATTAAAAAGCCATGAAGCCTCCATGACAATAAGAGTCCAGCTCTGGATTTTTTTAGGAGCAACTCCCAGCTAGAAGAGAGCACAGGTGCCTCCTACAAGCTCTACTAACAACATTGACACCTGTAGAAAGAATCTTGAAACACTTCATCAGTTGCTTCTCTCCATCTTTTGATCAAGAACAGCCTATCCCTAAGCACCTAATAGATGCTGCACCATGTATCTACTCTGTGAATGCACGCAGTCTGTGATCCTCTGTGGCCTGCACCAAAACTATCTCATGTACTCTCTTGGCCATGGTGGTTTAAAATGTGACCTGAGATCCAAGAGACTTATTGGGAAACCCAAAAGAAATCCTCTGAACCCTGAAATTCATGTTGACTAGGCATTAATTATAATGCCTTCCTGTCTTATACACCCACACTATCTTTCAGTCCATTGATATCCATATTCCGGGGAGCAGGCTTGGAAGGGTCCTCTTCTCAAGGGACATTGGAAATGATAGGGTTACGTGGATCAGAGAGACAACACACTTGAGAACACTGCAGCACCTGCCAAAGAAAGACAGCACAGTCCTGTGAATTATGGAGAAACCATGATGAGCAAGGCTACAACTAAGAGGGGATTTAAAGTCACATCCCAGGACCAGAAATCAGAATATGGGCAAAAGGAAACCAAGCCCAAAGCCAACAGTCTCTGCTGGAAGATTGTAATAAGCTTAAGATACAGAAGTACGATGTCCCTTGGTATATGGAGGACAAGCTTCATACTCCCCAAAGCAGGCAGAATCGGTTTCTTTTGGAAGGGGAAGGGAGGAGTTTACAGGGGACCCCTCCCAAGGGGAGGGCACCCATGGTATCTTGCTCCTTCAAACCTCCCAAATTGGAAAGGAAGCAGACAACATGCAGCCTGCAGGCCATGTTTTTTACACCCTTTAAAAATTAAGGGATTCATGTCTGCATAAAGTTAGCCTAAGAAGCCTTTCAGTGAAGCAATACATCTTTTTGTCTTTGTTGCAAAGTAAACTCTCTGCAAGACTTTAATTTCCAGGATCTTTTAAGCAAATTCTGCTCTGCAGGTGAAATTAAAAGGACTGGAGACTTGGTCTTTCTATCTGAAGGCGTAAACAGGATCACTATCCATGTATTTAAATATTCTGTATGAAAATACAGAGTTTTATAGGTTCAAAGGCAGGTATGAAGGCATATATTTGCAGCAATCACACTTGAAACACAGCTAATAGAGGTTCTGTATGCCAAAATGCACTCTCCTGCACGTGGTTATAAGCATTTGTAAATCTTGTAGAATCTTTATACAGAACCACTGAAATGAATCACTGAATTAGGAGGATCCTTGCAGCTCATCTATCTCAAGTCCATGTTTAGGGCAGGAATCTTCTAACGAAACAGGGAACTATCTTACTATCGAGGTCTAGACCGTCCCATTGATTAACAACTCTCATCATGAGGTATTTCCTCCTAATATTCAGCCTAAATCTAATTTCTTTTAATTTTAGTTTGTTGGTTCGCATTCCAATCTCGATTTCAGCAAAGAAACGGGCTTATTCTCTTTTGCACATTACAGCATTTAGTTGTCCACACGTCTGCTTGCAAAGACTCTTCTCCTATTGTGAAAAGATGGCCGCTCTTTCCGTTCTTCTATATGGCACTTGATTTCCAGGTCATTTTATTTTATTTTATTTCATTTTTATTATACTTGTAACAGTTATTAGCCGCTCACCTTACCATGTGGTAACTCTGTGTGGCTTACAATTTATTATTTATTACATTTTGTTCTGGTAGCCTTTCACTGCAGTTTCTCTATGAAATATTATTTTCCATAATCTGGACATGTTTCCGTTAATCCAGGCCAAGATTGGCCTGGCTTTTTAAGGGGCTGTATAAGGGGCGAAATTCAGCTAGTTCTATCTGGCTCAGGGGAACTGGTAGCGGCGGCTGCGGGAGGCTCCGCCCACCTGTGCGGACATCATGTCGTTACTTTTTTGCGACAATTTTAAAACTCTGTGCATGCGCAGAAGGCTTTGTGTGTGTGCAGACAACGGCGCACCCACATTTGCAAACCGGTAGGGAAGGAAATGAATTTCACCCCTGGTATCCCATTGTTTGCTCACATTCAGCCGACACTTTTGGCAAGCCTTATCTCCCCAGTCCTTTATCAATGAGTTTGATTTTTTTTCCTCCCAAGATACAGAATCTTCCATTTATCTGAGGGTCACAGAACACTAACACTCAACAAGCCAAGCAACAGAAACTTACTCTTGGGGCTGCTCTGGCCATCAGGTTCAGGGACCTTCCAGTCCATTTTTCTCCCTTTTTCGTAGAGGCCCTTCAGCACCTTCCGGAACTCCTCAGGTTCCAAGCCTCCAGTGCTCAGTTCCATGTATTTCCGGTACAGCTGAAGTGCTGTTCGTGCATCTTCAATGCTGTCGTGAGTCTCTCCTTGAATTTTCAGGTCTAAGCAAAAGAAAAAAAAAAAGAGAAAAATCCAACACATGGCAAATGTCGTCTTGCCTACTTCCTTTGGTTCAAGAAAAGAGGAAATCTCTTTAGGCTAAGGTTAGTGGCAAGAATTTATTTTTGCAGGGTTGAAAATGAACTCAACTGTAAGACTTTAATATTAATCTAATCTGGAAGGCCTTCCCTACTCCCCATTCTCTATATCAGGGGTCTCCAACCTTGGCAACTATAAGACTTGTGGAGTTCAACTCCCAGAGTTCCTCACCTAGCAAAGCTTTGCTGGCTGAGGAACTCTGGGAGTTGAAATCCACAAGTCTTAAAGTTGCCAAGGTTGGAGACCCCTGCTCTATATCCAAATTCTCAATTGCAATGTAGGGTTTGAGAAACTGTAAAACTCATATGAGGGCAGTTCAGCCTTACTAGGTACATACACTGGGCCAGGAAATCAGTTCCACAGGAAGGACATAAAACTACTTTTATTGCTTTATTTGGGCTTTAATAACAAAACTTTGCAAGTCTGCTGGTGTGGCATCTCCTCCTCCTCGGTTTTAAAGTTCAGTGAATTAGGGAGGCGTCTCTGCCTGAGCAGTTTCCAAGTTGTTATCTCCTTATTCTGCTGTTTTTGCTTAGATATCAGTTCCTGCACATTATCATCAATATCGTCTTCCTGAGATCTTTACATGAGGAATTCTTTAGCAACTAGATTATCCTTTCATACAGGGTGGCTTGGCTGACTGGAAGAGGGGCGCAGTTTAACACTGCCCACAAGATTATTGTACTGACCCAAAAAATACCAGGCAAGGAAGCGCAGGGAGATCATCCTCTTCCTGGGCATGTGGAACAAATACACTGTGTCGATTACTTGATCTCTGGGAACCTGTAAGAGGCAGGTATAGCCCTTTTAGCACACAACCACATAATCATTCCCCAAAGAGATCTCAGTCTTCTAACCTTAGATCAAAACCAGACTTGGCCTAAAGTCCACTTGCTCCAAGGGAGATAAGCAAGACAAACAACTAAATCTGGTAATTAATATAACTGAGCTGCAGTGGCGCAGTGGTTAAGAGTGCAGTACTGCAGGCTACTTCTGCTGATCACCGGCTGCCAGCAGTTTGGCAGATTGAATCTCACCAGGCTCAAGGTTGACTCAGCCTTCCATCCTTCTGAGGTGGGTAAAATGAGGACCCAGATTGTTGGGGGCAATATGCGGACTCTGTAAACCACTTAGAGAGGGCTGTAAAGCACTATGAAGCGGTATACAAGTCTAAGTGCTATGTCTAAGTGCTAAAGCAAATTAGCTGAATGTCTTTGATTACTCCTGATGTATTTAATAATTTTTGCTTTCCATATTAAAAGTAGAGTCTGATAGCAATTTCTGAGTGGCTCAGGAGCTGACCCGGGCAGAAGCTTCTTCAGTTCTCAGAAGAAGCTTCTTGGATGAGAAGTGAAATGTCTTCAAAGAAAAACCAGAAAGCCCAGTTGCCTCTTGAAAAAGCACTTTTGGGAGAGAAAGCTAACAAAATTCAAAGGTAGGCTGTGAAAATGAGACGTGTCTGCAAACAATGACTTCAGATTCCTCAGTGACTTCAACAATGGCAGAGCTTCTAATGTACTTGAAAAGTTCTTTAAAATTTAGGAAGATATTCAGAGGTGCATCTGCCTTGAAAGTAGCCCATGTTGAATTGTATAGGTATAGGGCAATCAAACATTACTAGTTGACAACATGTTTTGTGACATTTAGTATTATGTCATAAAATGGTTTATGATAATTTTTGTCATAAAATGTTTTATAAATTTTGCCAGATTTCAATTCCATGGCTCCTGGACTTTGGACACATTCTCTAAATTAGCCCATGTGGTGTACTTTGGTTCAAAAGGTTTTACCCTGCAATGTACTGTTTTGCCTAGTTAAAAGTTAAAAGTATTACTAGTATATCAATAATCCTAGAGCCTTGCTCCCTTCCCTAGGTGTGCTGTCTTTTCTCTCTCACACACACATTCCACTGCAACCTCTTCACACATGAGGCCTGCACTGATCATCCTATCTGGTGAATCCCCAGCAGTGGGGGACCTGAGAAACCAAACTCACTTGGGTCATCTCTTACTCTACTACAGGAAATGCTGTAAAATATTTTGCCCCCACCCCCACCCCCGGAAGTGCAGAGAATACCATTTCTTTCCAGTGGATCTTGGCCCAAGTTGTGCAATTTCCAACCTACTCCTCCTGTTATTGTTTCATTGGTTTTCACATTGACTGCCAATGATGAATTGTGTCGTTGTTTTTATTGTTTAACTGTTAATAATTCCAGGCACAAGATAAGTGACTATGTGGAAATGCCTACAGAATTACAGAATTGGAAAAACAATTTGAGTCAGGGAATCTAATTTAAGGTATTAAGTCATTCACACATATCACTCATGTTCAGTTACATCTCAGTTACTATATCTTCTTTACACACGCTCTATTTTCACTCACCATAAGAAGTTAACCTGTGTGAGAGAGAGAGAGACAGAGAGAGAGAGAGAGAGAGAGAGAGAAAGAGAGAGAGAGAGACAGGGAGGGAGGGAGGGAGGGATATCTATCAAGATTTTATAAGGAGACAGTCACCATGATATTGATAACCCGGAAGTCTTTTTGCAATCCATGGCCCACAAACTTGACTCCAACATCTATAAGGAAGCGTAGCTTTAAATAGGTGGATTTGAGGGTTGTGAGATGTTTGGATGAAATTTTGGCATCCAGATCTCCTGGCTTTATTCCCGAGTACTGAGTAAGATAATCCACCACCTACAAGAACAAAGAAAATGGAATCATTATGTAGTGAAAGGTCTTCCTGTCCCTTCCCATCTTCCAGGCCACTGAGTGGAACTACTTCCCATTCAAAAACATATATTACCTGATAGGAAAAAGGAAGACAAATTCCTATTAATATGCTAGAAAACGTACTAAAAAACAAAGCAAAGCAGGAATAACAAGCTTCAGCTCAACCATAACAAGACTAAGTGACTTTGGGTGTTAGGGGCTCCTGGTTCTTGAGACTTTCCACTTTTTGTTCCAGGTGTGGTTGTGCTACCCCAAAAAGAACCTGTGTGCAATTTGGGGGGTGGTTTTCACAGCTCCTGTTCAAGGAACAAGTGATAGCCATCCCCCTAAGGGCCTTTGCACAACTATGTGTTGTGCGCCTGGTCCTGGACCATAAAACCCTGCTCGGGATCTCTCATATCTTGGTCATGTACCTCTGCTGTGTGGGCTGCACTGGTTGCCAGTCTGCTTCCAGGTGCAATTCAAGATGCTGGTGATGACCTATAAAGCCCTTCATGGCACGGAACCAGGTTATTTGAGGTATCATCTCTCTACAGTCAGGTCTCATTAAGTCTTTTTCTATCCTGGCTCCTTCTCTGTGAAACATCATTCCTCCAGAACTCAGATTGGCTTTGATCTCTGTCCACTTTTTGCACGGTCTTAAAACCATGGAATATGCTTTGAAGTTGTTGCATACCTGTTCTTGTGTGGAAATGTAATCATCAATGAAAGGAACACCCTCATTGGGACCCTGCCCTCGGACACAGGTGATCCTGGCCACTGACATCTGACTGGGTTTGATCGTGGATTTGGTCCCGTCACTGCGAAGCTCGGCTTCCTCCTATCGCAGATGATGGAAAGGGTGAATAGATACTGCCTGTGCTCGAAATCTTGTCTCTTGTCCTAATGTGTGATGCCTACCTCATTGAGGGTCACAAACTCAGCATCCAATCCCACCAAGTCTCCAACCTGTGGCATTTCGCTCAGCATGAGGGGGATGAAAGTGGCGTGACATTTGCGCTGTTTGCGAGCGAGGGAAGCCTCAGCAAGCAACACGCTGGCTTCAATCGGGTTCTTGACTTGAAAAAGAAAATGAAATTTGATCACAGTTGACTCACTCAGAGATTACACTCGGTTTACAGAAAAACCAAATGAAAAAGGGAAATCCCATCTTGGTCAGGGGATGCCCCAGAGAAAACCTCAAGAGCACAACTTCTTCCTTCGTACGAATGATACTATTTTCTAAGAATCAGTGGATCACTCAAACCTAATGGGCCTAAAACTCTTAAAAGGAAACCTCTAGCAACATAGGACTGACTTCTCTAGAAGAATTGAACAGCAGAATTTAAAACAAGGATTTTATTTTAGGAAGACAGAGCCATAACAAGGGCAACTCAATCCTGAAGCTGGTCACATCAGTTGACACAGTTCTAGAAACATGCCAAATAGATTTCTGATGGCACACAGAGTGTAGTTTCAGGAATCCACAATGTCCATTCATAGCCAATTCAATTCAAAATACATTAAAATTAAGATGGAGAACACCACTGCAGCTGCTTCTCGAAAACTGACCAGCTGCCTTGCGGAAAATATCTAGACATGCTGGTTTATGTGGAAAAACAGCTGCATAGCTGCTTCAGCATTCATCTAAACACCCTCCAACAATTTCTATTTCACAGTGTTTTGGCTAGCAATGTTTTTCATTCTTGACGCGACCTCTGTTGTCTATGCTGATGGGCCTTTTCATCTCATGATGATCGCTCAGTTTGTTTCACTTCCTTTTGAGAGTACCGCACTTCCTCGCAAAACATATTTACTTTGTTGTCTCAATCTTTGTGGTGTTAACTTATGACCACCTCTCAAAAATTCCATCCTCACACTCACTGACTGTGAAGGAGGGCAAGGCTATTTCTCCTCCCAGCTGTACAACACTATTTATGATGCTTCTTGCTGGAATTTCCATTTGGCTGTAAAGGCAATTAAGGAAAAGACCAAGGAGTGGGTGCCCAGTGATTGTAAGGAAGGCTGAAAGTGAGGAAATTGGGGTGGTTCAACGTGAGAACACAGGTCACTCCCAGCAGGATAGAAACTCCCCTCCCCCCTCCTAGGACACTGAAGGTTTCATGTGCATCTGCTGAATATGTACAAAATAGGTCCCTGAAAAACAACCAATGAGGATATAAGAAAAATGAATTGTCTGAAGGCTAAGCTAGTCATATACCCCGCTTGTTAAATGGGCAGAGCTATCTTTGTATGGAAGCAAGAAGGAAAGCTTATCTGCTTTGCTTGATAAGGAGATTTCACTGGGCAATGTAAGGCTGGCAGGACCCTCGGCCATTCCAATTGGCAATCTATGTGCCAACTAAGCCCTATGGCTCGATTAACCTGAATATAATCTATGGCTTTTCAAACTGAGCATCATGTCAAGTGAATTATCCATTTGGGATATTATTATTTTTTTAATTGTATGGGAAGCAATTTTCTTCAGGCAGGAGAACGAGAGGGCTCAGAGAAACAAGCTTAAATTAAATCATAGTTATGCTTTTGCTTATTCTGGACAAACAAAACTTTTTTCCTACACCTAATTTCACCTAATTGGTATTTAAAACATACTTTTTAAAAAAGAAAACATATTATTTGGCCTCAATATGCTCAATAACCACTGTAGCTTACTGGGATCTATGAACTGGGCTCATGGGGGAATGACATACAATTGAATCATACTCTATTCCTATTATACAACATTCAAAGCTACTTGCTCAATAATATATCTCTCTCTATATGTACCTGTATAATAAGGGGGCTAGCTGCTGGAATTCCTGAACAAAGATTTCAGTACAAGGTAGTCCTCAACGTATGACTGGATGATTAGTGACTGTTCAAATTTTCAACGGACCTCCCTGGGGGTACTTATGACCTAGTTCCAAAGTTACAACAGACACCTCCCCCCCCCCAAATCAGATGACTGCATTTTGCGGTCTCGGCAACTGGCCCACATTTTATGGCTGTTTATGGCATCCCACAGTCATGTGACTGCGTTTTAGGACATTTTTGCTGGCTTTTACTTCTGGCTTTCAGCAAAACTGGCCTATAGGGAACAACTGGTTTGCTTTACAACCATTGCAAAATAATAATAATAATAATAATAATAATAATAATAATAATAATAATAAATTGGCTTGGTCATGTAAGTGGCCTGTTTTACAACCATCACGATTTAGGACCACGATGGGTAGGCTCCATTATAGTCCTACGTCGAGGACCACCTCTATCTCATTTCAATAAGCTATAATAAAACAATCACCTATTACTTGTTTAGGAATTCCTGCAGTCATCCATCTTCTATACATACCTATATAGAGGGACGTTATAACTCCTGCCCTAATATTACTAGATACCTGGGTTATAAGAGACTAAAGGTTATCATCATGGCTGAACTTGGTTGTCAGGTTTTAAGAAAGAGCAGCTCCTAATTTCTTGCTACTTTTGTAAGTGCGTTGGTACATGCACACACACTCACTGTGTAAATTGAACTTGGAGTGGAGGTTCCTCCGCACATAATAAAGGATCGCAGGCACTTTCCAGGTCATGTCAAATTGTACAGCCTCACACTGCAAATCCAAAGGCAGACAGGAAAAATCAGACAGACAGAAGTAGGAGAACAGACAGATCAGAAATGAGTTCTGGAAGCTGTCTGGAGCTGTTTTTAATTAAAAATGGAAAAAACGGGGAAAAAATAGTCCAAAAGAAGAAATGTTGACTTAGAATTGTGCCTGTCTGTGCTGACTAAATTTCTTTAGACTTCAATGCAGAATGTCAAGGAAGTTTCAGCATGGATACAAGTTGTGACTTGGATCAGGGATGGGCATCAGATCCTTTAGCAACGGGTTCATTGCCCCGTTGCTGGGTGGGCATGGCCATGGTGGATGTGGCCTAGTCGGCTGCCTGAGCCACGGCAGGGTGTGTGTGTGTTTTTTGCCCTCCCCAGGCTCTAGAGGCTTTCCTCAAGCCTCCGTGAGGGCGAAAATTGCTTCCCCCAGGGTCCAGAGGCCCTCCGAAGGCTGGAAACAGGCCCGTTTCTGGACTTCCAGAACCTCCAGGAGGCCCATTTTTTGCCCTCCCAGACCCTCCGCGCGGCCCCTGCACTTACCTGGAATGATGAATGGGCCGTGTGGAGACTCCTGGGGTGGGCGTGGCCAGCCAGGGGTGGCATTTGGGGGTTCGCCAAACCCCAGCGATCCTTGGCTAGAGGATCACCCAAACCCTGCCGAACCCCCAGGGGCCCACCCCTGACTTGGATGAATCAATACCCACATTTGTTTATCCATGGAAACAGTTCAGGGCAACCCTGGCTAGGCTGTAAATTCTAAGATCCTATAGACAAGATCTCAAATTTCTCAGTGGGGGCACAGCACAGCATCTTGGTGCATATTCCCTGGCACAAGCCAGGCATATACATTACTAAAATATGCTTTATAAATACGTTCTGTAGTAACATTACATGTCTCCAAATAAAATAAGCTGTTTTATATCCACTTGACTATAAAAGACATTTCACATACCGTCTTTAATGTACAACATAATATTGTTTGCAAGAAAAAAAGGTAACACAGGATATGATGCCTCAGCTAGGCCATTCAATAAAACAGAGATTCACAGAAGCTTTAAAACAAATATCAATTCTCATTAGCATGGAAATATGTCTTGAAACACTCCAATCTATGTAACTACTTTCTATGTACTATGTACCATGTAGCTACTTTCTAAAGATACGCTCTTTCAAATCTATTCAGTTCTGATTTCCATTTTATGTCAAAACACTGTATAAAACCCACACTATCTAGTTTCAAAAAAGCCTGGAACGTGAATAACTCCATACTAAATATTCATTTCTATTTCTGTTGTATGTAAGAAAGCAAGAGAATAGAATATAAATCATCATAATGTCCTTACCTTATCCACAGGTTCAATGAGAAAGTCATTAAAAAGATACCATTGCTGGTGTGTGACACCCTTTAAAAAAAAAAAGAAAGTTATGATGCGTTAAATACAAAGATGTTCATTGCAATCATATCTTACAAGCAGGTGCAATTAACTTCTACATTTAACCCCCTTCCATTTAATAGGAATCGACAGTTAGAGCGCAGATAGAAAGATCAAGACGCTCAGCTTTTTATTAAAAGGCTCACCTCCTTTCTTTGATGGTAGGTCTCTCCAACTTTGATATGCCCCACAAGGCTGCCCCCAGTCCGGGAATCCAGAATATGTACAACTGTTGCCATGAGGTCATAGACGTACGTAGATTCTTGATCCTCCAACATGCCCAACTGCAACAAGAAAGACAGTTCCAGAAGTGAGCTATTTTTCTCTGTGGCTCTAACACAGTTCTACATGGGTGTAGGTCACTACATTCTCCCCAAACAAAGAGGAAAAGCGCACTATTTTTAGTACTACTGAAGCCAACCCCCTGGATAGTTCAACTCCAATATGCTTGCCTTTCCAGAACCTGATATCCTATGTCAGTGTGGCAGAACAAAGTTTGGCGTCTAACTTGTCTTATTTGTTCATTTATCCTTCATCGTGTTCTCTGTTTCATGAATTGACATAAATGATTTAACCTGATGAACCTTTGGTTCAGTAGTGGGTTTCACTCAGTGGTGAAATGTAAAATTTGTTACTACCGGTTCTGTGGGCGTGGCTTGGTGGGGAGGGGGTAATGTGACTGGGTGGGCGGGGCCAACTTTTTAAAAAAACTTTTAAAACAATTTATTCTACAACTTCTTTGGCTGAAGAGGTTGTAAAAAAATGCTTTTAAAAGCCTCTGATGATCCCAGCTGAGCCGCGCGATCATCAGAGGCTTTTTTTTTTAACTTTTAAAAGGATTTTTTCCGCCGAAGAGGTTGTAGAAAAAATGCTTTTAAAAATTAAAAAAAAAGCCTCTGATGATTGCGCGGCTCAGCTGGGCATGGGGGGGCAGGGATGTTTGCTACCGGTTCTCTGAACCACCCACCTCCATCTCTACCTGATCGGGCAATCCGGTCCAAACCGGGAACATTTCACCTCTGGTTTCACTTACCTTCGCTACTGGTTAGGAACTGTGAGCGCATGCGCGGTGCTTCTGCGCATGTACAGAACCTCCTGTGCATGCGCAGACCATCCGTGATGACGTTTAGGTGGGTGGGCGGAGCCTCCCACCGCTGCCACTACCGGTTCACCCAAACCGGAGCAAACCAGTAGAAAACCAACACCGCTTTGGATATGTAAGTGCTTCCATCGTGGAAAGCCAGACTGCTTTTTTCATATAGTTTTTTGCTTTGACTTTTTCCCAAATTAAAACATAGTGTCTTACATAGTGTCTTACATAGTGTCTTTGAAAGTATCTGTGAATTCTATTTTTTCCATACCACCGAAAGGCATGCCATCCCAATTGAAGATCGTGTCCCTCCAGCAACAATAACCTTCTATGCTTCAAATCTATCCACTCTCTCACCCATGTAAGTGCTGAAGCCTTGTAGTAAAGCTCCCAATCTGGCAACCCAAAACCCCAAAACTTTAGAAACTTCCCAATCTGGCAACCCAAAAACCCAAAACTTTAAATTCTTGTAGCATTTTCAGTCTTATTCTTGCTCTTTTCCCTTTCCATATATATTTCAAAATTATTTTAATTAGCCCCTCAAAGTATTTTTTTTCTATTTTTTTAGGAATTGTTTGAAACAAAAAGAGCAATTTCGGCAGAATGTTCATTTTTATAGTAGCTATTCTTCCTAACTTTGATAGTTGCATATTCTTCCATTTCTCCAAATCCAGTTTAATTTGTTGCTTTAGCTTTGTATAGTTATCTCCTTTAATTGTTACACATCTTGCTGTTAAATAGATTCCTAAATATTTTACTTTCTTAACTACCTGTAGGTCTATCGTCTTCATTAATTCATTTTTCTGTTTATCTGTAAGGTTTTTAATTAATATTTTAGTTTTTTCTTTAATTTTCAATCCTTCTATTCTTCTATTTTTCCTATTAGCTAATGGTTCTTCTAAGAAAAATACCAGATCATCTGCAAATGCTTGTAATTTTTATTTTTTCTTTGTTTATTTCCATACCTTTTATTTCTAAGTCTTTTCTAATACTTCTGTTTAGCACCTCCTGGATCTACTGGTAATTTTTATGAGGATTTTCAACAGATTGGTAAACTTACCCAGATGGATTGCCTATTGCAACTAACGATATTTCTCCATAAAACTGGGTTGTTTTATGAAGATTGTTTCAGGGAAAATCAAATACGAATTACTGTGTATAAATTCTCAAGCTGAAATCAAATTCCTGGGTGGAGCCTACATTCAAAGGTATCCTGTCTTTAATTTTATGTATTTGAAAGTTCCTTGAGCCACTGTTTTCCATCTTGCTCTGGAATAGATGGAAGAAAGGATGCATCAATCCTGAAGTCTGCCTATCCCCACCCTAATAATGTAAGAGACAGATAGGCAGGTGTAGATAACAGAATAACAGTTGGAAGGTATTTTAGAGGTCTTCTAGTCCAACCCCCTGCTCAGGCAGGAGACCCTATACCGTTTCTGAAAAATGGCTGTCTAATCTCTTCTTAAAAACCTCCAGTGTTGAAGCACCCACAACTTTTAGAGGGGAACAGTCCCACTGATTAATTGTTCTAACTGTCAGGAAATTTCTTTGTTCTAGGTTGCTTCTCTCCTTGATTAGTTTCCATTCTTCTTGTCTTGCCTTCATGTGCTTTGGAAAAGAAGCTGATCCCCCCCCTTTCTTTGTAGCAGCCCCTCAAATATCGGAACACTGCTATCATGTCATCTCTAGTCCTTCTTTTCACTAGACTAGACATACCCAATTCCTGCAACTGTTCTTCATATGTTTTAGTCTCCAGTCCCCTAATCATCATTGTTTTTTCTGCACTTTTTCTAGAGTCTCAACATCTTTTTTATATTGTGGTGACCAAAACTGGATGCAAACGAGATAATCCAATAACTTCTTTTTGGCTAAATAGCCATTTCTCCCACATTGGTCCAAGTAGCCCCAATTATCACGTGGGAAGAAGCTTGACAACCTTTTATCTCCAAGCTGCCTTAGTATCTTTATGGTGGAATAAAACACAAATAGTCTGTACTTGGTTTTTCCTGATGAGTTCTTTCTCTACACCTTTGCAGCTTAGAAAAGCAACGAAGAAATGAAAACTTGCCCTCACCTGCTGAGGCTTTTGAAAATTAAATACTTAAATTCTTTCTGGAATGATTTAAGCATTCCCTCAAGTGGGCAATGGTCCTATGCAACACAATCACTTGGCTTGGGAGCATTCACAAGAACTAGGATACCGAGAAAACATTTCATATTTAAGTCAGGTATAAGGAAAGTATTTTAAGGAAGTACTTTCTTGTAAGCAAGAAATATTTTACTTCACTGCTTTCATCCCAGTTGTAAACCTCCAATTCCTTGTTCTTGGAGAGCTTCATCTTGATGGAATAAGGAATCCAGATGTTCTTTAGTTCTTCAATGGAGGTGTAAGAGTGTCCCCCCTCAGCCATTCCTAACTCATTCCTGAAAGCAAAGCAAATGCCAATCGATATCACAGAGATGGAAGGAATTATCAGTGAACAGTGAAAATCACAGTGAACAGGACTGAACAGCAGGCTGATTTTCTTTTTCTTTGCTCAAGCACCCAATACTTCCAGCCAAAGAAATGAGGCTGGTTAGTTCAGCAAGAAATGGTATTAATTATCTCATCATCCATTATTACAATGGGCCAATTCCATATTCTTTGTGCATAACTGCACTTTTCCATCCGCACTATAATGGCAATTTTACTGCTTCAGTGTCTTTCTCTGTCCCTTAGTTATGAGTCTTGGTGTAATTAAGAACATGGTAGAAGTGGTCATGTCTTCAATAATAAGACCTCTCATTAAGGAACGGTAGGGTCAGGACCATCTGTTAGGAAAAGTAGGGATACCCAGGATAGAAATGGTACTTACCATTCTCCAACCGCTATTTCTCTACTTTTGGGGAATTCCAGGCAACCCTTCTTCATCATCTTCTTCTTAAAAGCATACTGTCAAAAAAAGGATGTACCTCAAGCACAGAAATCTAAATCTAAATTTCATGTACATTGAAATGTTTTTATTTACCACCAACTCAAGCGGATGTCAATAGATCAAGATAGGGTATGTCAGGGGTGAAATGTAAAATGTGTTACTACCGGTTCTGTAGGTGTGGCTTGGTGGTGGTGGGGTAATGTGACTGGGTGGGTGTGGCCAACATTTTTTTTTTTAACTTTTCAAAGCATTTTTCTAATGCTTTGAAAATCCTCTGGCGATCAGGCAACTCAGCTGGGATGGTCAGAGAGGCTTTCTAAAAAATGCTTTGAAAAGCCTCTGAGGATCCCAGCTGAGCTGCGCGATCATCAGAGGGTATTTTTTTTACTTTTAAAAGCATTTTTTTGTCGGAAGTGGTTGTAGAAAAAATGCTTTTAAAAGTAAAAAAAAAAAAAAAAAGCCTCTGATGATCGTGCGACTCAGCTGAGCATGGTGGGGAGGCACAGGGATTTTTGCTACCGGTTCTCCAAACCACCCGCCGCCATCGCTACTCAATTGGGCGATCCGGTCCAAACCGGGAGCATTTCACCCCTGGGGTATGTTCTCCAACTGCTTCTCAATGTGTGGAACACATTTTACTTCTGTTTGCCAATGGCATTTCTGGCTTATTCCCCAAGCTGCTGGCTCTTCAAGAAGGATTATACCATTTCCCAAAACACATCTTGATAACTGACCACTGGAAATTGGCTTCCTTATTTTAGATTATTTTAACAAAGGTCCTACCTGTAAAACTACAGGCATTAGAAATGGAGTAAGGATCTTGAATGGCACTCAACTCCATTCAGTTGCCCAGGCTCCACCCCACAAGGGATTATGGGTCATTAAATGACAATGATGATCTTGAATGGGCATGAAGCAGAGATGGTGAACTGCTTGACAATGCATTGTTTGAGGCCACCTGAGAGGGGACTGCACGTAAAGAAAAGAATTGTAATAGAAAACAACATATGTGTGCATCTCCCTACCTCAGCTTGCACCTTCCAAAATTCAGCTTCCTTGGAGCTGTTGACTTCACAGTTAATGACTAACACATCTGGCAGACAGCGGATGTTGCGGGTCTGGACCTAGAATGGCAGAGAGATGATGTGTAACATTGAAGCAATGGCACAGATTTAATCTTTGATACTGACATTGTAACTTTATTTGGTAATGCCTAGTTATGGGCATGCTCTGATCAGTCTAAAGATCCCTATTTTGGTCTTTCAGCGAGTGTTTCAGATAAAAACTGATAGCAGAAGCTGAAATTAGGGGAGAGGGGAAAAATACTTTTCTTCTTTAAATTATCTACTTAATATTTATCTTCAAAATCAATTAACCATAGATCTTGCATAAATACTGGAATCATACTTCTGCCTGGTCAGCTGTCTATCAAACACACAATTCCCATTCTCAAAGCAATCCGATAGTATAGCTGTATGCCATACCTAAAGTTTTCTATGTATCAGTGCTACAGACCTCTTATTGCCCAACGCTTCTTCCCTTGTCACTTACTGTGGGTTGGTATTTCTCGCAGTTCTCACACCAGGCCTGAGTGTTCTGTTCCAGACAAATGCTTCTTTTTAACATCTGGGCAAATTCATAATCCATTATTTTATCTGGGAAAGATGGGAGGCACAAAAAGAATGTATTTGCATTGCCGCAAAGATTAGAATAGGACATCAAACATCATGAGCCTGAGATACACGGGGAAGAAAATGAACCCTGCTGAAGAAAAGCAGATGGCATCAAGAAATAGTTGCCTAGACCAGTTGAGAAGCCCAGTTCCAATAACTGTCTTCTCAGGAATCTTCAACTTTGTCACTATGAGCACCATCCAGGCAAGTAACAAATTCTTTTAGGCCCACTTGACAAGGATCAAGCATACAGACAATTCACTTCTGTCCTTGCACAAGGGCTAGGCATGCTTTAGAAATGAAGAAATCAGTTTGAAAACTGATTTTTGCCAAAATCTATTTTTTTAAATATAAGCAACCTATGGAAATATAAGCTACTCACGGTTAATTAATTGATTCAGTGTTATTGATATGATTGTTTAATGTATATATATCACATTAAAACATACTCTTTTAAGATTTGTCTTCCTATGCTTCTTACAACCTCTTTTCTTTCTTTCTTTTTTTTTTTTTTGCATCATGCGTTTTAAAATTCTGTGAAAGAGTAACTTATGTTATTTTTAATCAATCTGGCTTGCTCTTGGATCTGTTTGATAGATGAGTGTGGTAGAAATTATTTAAATTAGGGCAGACAAGGTAGTCTTGCTTGCTCATGCAAGCTAAACTTATTTTATCTAATCAATCAATCAATCAATCAATCAATCAATTGTATTATGCTTTAGAAATCTGGGACTGAGAAACCAAAATTCTTGTTTCAATAATTCTATGAACTTGGTATGTTTCCTCCAGCACATTTATACTTTCTCAGTGTAAAATGAAAAGTATCACTATAAAAGGCAACAGGGTTGGTTTGAGTAATAAGGTAAAAATGGCAAAGCACATGAGAGAAACTGCTACAAAAATTAAATAACAGAAGGGCCCCTATTTGTTACTCAGAATTTAACTTGGGTTCAACCAAACAGATTCCAACAACTAAATATCTGAAATACGGTTTGAGATGTTAAGATTTATGGTTACTGAAATGAGTGAATATGTAGGAGATGAGCCCAAGGGAAAGGTCAAGCATGTCATCAATCTCAAGTCTCTTCGTGCCCACAAGAGATCTAAGTCCAGCCCACCTTGAATTCCATTGAGTCTTATCTATCATAATTTGCTTTGACTGTTAGTAGTTCAGATTCTTGTGGAGAGTGTTAGCATGCAATAAACCTGTAGTTATTTGAACCGCCTTGCTTCCTGATTTCTTGTGTCTTAGAAGAAAGACACAATAAATTTTGTGGCTTAGAATTTTTCTAATAACTGACTGATGCTCTAGGAATATGTTTTATTATATTTTAAAAACTTTTAATCCAATTTTTTCTCTAAAAGATAGGGGTTCAGGCACACAACAGGTAGTTGTAAAACCTCAAGCACTTCACATTTGCTGTCCCATGTTTTGAGAAAAGGCCAATCCAGTTCCATTCAACGCTATGTTTACTCTATCATTGTACAGTATTATTCTGAAACTCCATACCATTGTTCTCAGGATAAGAGAGAGTAAAGAGGAGGGTAGAAGAGACTCGGACTGTCTCTTTGCCACAGCGGCACATACTGCAATTCTCCACTTCACAGCTGAAAAGTTGCCCAATGACTGAGTCTCCAGAAGATCCAAAGTTGCTAGAAGAAACACAACTAGATCAGTAGAGAATGTAATGAGACGATATGCAGGAGCACAAGGCCAGGGCAGGCAGACTTCTTATTCCCCCCACCCTATAATCTCAAAGTCTACTAATGAGTGAACCACAAAACAATAAGCCAGGACAGGTACACATCTAGAAGAATTAAGGGATAAGTTAACTGCATGCACATAACTCAGTCTCAGACCAATTAAAGTCTAGCTCAATACTTTGCTCCATCAATATTCACTCCCCAAGAGCAAAATGCCTTCTTTGCAATAGTCCAGTGTTTCTCAACCTCAACAACATTAAAATGTGTGGACCTCAACTCCCAGAATTCCTCAGCCAGCATGGGAATTCTGGAAGTTGACGATCTCACATCTTAACGTTGCTCAGGTTGAGAAACACGGCAGCAGCCTAATTTAAAGATGTTGTTAAGAGAACTGAAAATGTTAAGTAACAGTGGCAGATATATTTTATGATCAGAACTCATTTTTCTTTGCTAAATTATTAGTTTAATGATTATTAAATATAACTCTGACCCTTAAGACCTTTTTTTTTTCTGAAGCACAAACGGCAGATCAAGACAAGACAGGTCAAGTACATTATAGTTAACAGCTGTCCCATGTAGAGGGTTTATTACCTGCACCCAATGCCTCGGTAAGCCTGAGGGCCTTCCTGCTCTTGAGTCTCCTGGTGGAGCTGGGTCAGAATGAATCTGTTCCAACTTTGAATCAACCGACCTAAGTTCACCTTCCCTGTAGCTTCATCCGAATCAGCCAAGATCAATCCCAAAGCAGCCGCTTCCGGGATGGTGCGGAAGGCACGCAGAAAATTACTCCCCTGGGACACAGGAAGGCAAGAGAAAATTATACATCAAAATAATAAGCAATTCCTAAACCAACATAAGCACTTGAAAGACCACACTCAAAAATCTTCTACGCCAGCGGTGGAATTTGATTTTTTTTTTACTACCGGTTCTGTGGGCATGGCTTGGTGGGCGAAGCAGGGGAAGGATACTGCAAAATCTCCATTCCCTCCTCACTCTGGGGCCAGCCAGAGGTGGCATTTGTCGGTTCTCCAAACTACTCAAAATTTCCACTACCGGTTCTCCAGAACCTGTCAGAACTTGCTGAATAGCACCCCTGTTCTATGCTCTCTTGTAAGCATGCTTGCTCTGACACCCCCTACATTAGGAATCGTATGGAAAGGACCGGAAATCCAAGCTAACCAAAGAGTGTGGGACTGATTCAGGGGAACTGTAGGGGGAAGAGAAGGCCAGCTGCAGAATGGTAGGCAACCATGCTGGTAGTCCTTGATCTATGACCAGTTGCTTAAAGACCATTCGAAGTTATGACAGAGCCCAAAAAAGCTAGCTACAATCTGCCCTTGAAATTACAACTGTCGCACCATTCCTGGGATTATGGAATTGCATTTTGGGAATTGGGCTTGTTATTAGTTGCAGCATCCTACACAACACATTTTGCAACATATTTTTGCTGTTTTCTGGCAAAAAAACCCAAAACCCACTTGGACAAATTGGGTTATGTTTTATGACATGATTCACCTTACAACTGTGGTGATTACTTAGCGACCATAGTAAAAACAGTTGTAAATTGGGATTAGTCATGTAAGTGGCCTGATTTATGACCACAATGATTTATGACCAAAATTCCAGGCTCAATTCTGGTAGCAACTTGAGAACTACTTGCACTGTGATGCTGAATGATTGGGGATGATGGGAGAGGGGAGGAGAAAGAACAAATATGAGACCAAATAAAAAAAAAGATTCAGTGACAGAGGCAAGAAGAAACACTTGATGAAGTCCTCAGTATTTAAGTGAATTTATTTATTTTTATTTTATTTATTTTATTAAATTTCTATACCGTCCTTCTCCCGAAGGACTCAGAGCGGTGAACAGCCAGAAGATAAAACACAGGAAATACAAAATCTAAAATAAATTAAAACAAATTAAATAATTTAGGCTGAATTTTAAAATACCCCATAATTAAACAGATTAAAAATGTATGTTTAAAATTTAAATTTAAAAGAGGAGATGATTTAGGCCAGGCCAGCTTGATGAAATAAAAACGTTTTAAGCGCGTGACGGAAGGTGCGAAGATCCAGGATCCTCCGTATCTCCGGGGGGAGCTCGTTCCAGATCGTAGGTGCCCCCACAGAGAAGGCTCTCCCCCTGGGGGCCGCCAGCCGACATTGTTTGGCCGACGGCACCCGGAGGAGCCCCTCTCTATGGGAGCATACTGGCCGGTGGGAGGCTATTGGTGGTAGCAGGCGGTCCCGTAGATAACGAGGTCCTAAGCCATGGAGCGCTTTAAAGGTAGTAACCAAAACCTTGAAGCGCACTCGGAAGACCACCGGGAGCCAGTGCAGCTCACGCAGAAGAGGTGTTACATGGGAGCTCCATGTTGCTCCCATAACCACCCGCGCAGCTGCACTCTGCGCCAGTTGGAGCCTCCGAGTGCACCTCAAGGGGAGCCCCATGTAGAGAGAGTTACAATAGTCCAGACGAGAGGTAACGAGGGCATGAGTGACTGTGTGTAGGGAGTCAAAACTGGTTCAGGATAAAGTTAACATGTTCCTTTTTTTTCTTTTTTGGTACCTTCGAGTCAATGTTGACTCCTGGCAACTGCCTGGACAACTCCTTGCAATTTTCTTGGCAAGATTTTGGAAGTAGTTTGCCCTTCTCTGGTTCCTAGGATTGAGAGAGAGTGACTGGCCCAAGGATACTCAGCTGGCTTTGTGCAGGCAGGCCTAGAACTCATGGTCTCCCATTTCTAACCTGATGCCTTAACATTACTCCAAATTGGCTTCTTAACAGTCTTTTGAGAAAGAAAATGAGTAAGTTTAGTATGTGTGTGAGTATGCTACATGGTCCTTCCGAATTGATAGAGTGCAGGCTACAATATGTTGGTTTGCAGACCCTTTCTAAATTAGAGATCCTTGCTCGCATAGAATATTTGTGTGCTTAAGAGAAAACAAGGCTTCAATTGAACCTATGGAGCATTAGGCAAAATAGGCCCAAACTGACTGGCAGCGGTACTGTCCTTTCTTTTTGCAAGGAATGCTATCTGTGGGTGGTATCCTTGGCAACATCTTCCTCATGGATAGCATTATCCAAAAGCTCCAATGGACCATAGCCACAATGGGCACTTTGTCAAAACCTATGAAATGGAATTTGGCCTAGAGAAGTATGCTATAGTTGCAATAAACTGGAGTAAAATCACAAACAGTAATGGAACCGAAATGCCGAATGACCAAACAATCAGGAGCCATCAGGATGAAGTCTGCAAATCTCTGGGTATTTTAAAGTTGAATAACATCAAGCATGGGTGAGTTAAAAATATGATTAGTAAAGAATACATCCAAAGAGTGAGAAAAATGTGAACAGAATGCTGGCAAGAAAAACATTACACAGGCAATTCCCACAAAAGACTGAGGGGAAAATGGATAAAGATAAAACCTGGCAATATCTTACACCTGGAATATTACTGAAGGCTTGAATTTGGCTCTGCAAAAACAAGCAATTCAAACGAGTACAATCAAGGTCAGAATTGAAAAATTGCCAGATGATTCAAAGACCAGATTATGCAAAGTAGAAGAAACAGCAGACTACATACTCAGTTCATGCAAAAAGATTACACAAACTGATTATAAACAACATAACACAGTTGCTAAAGTGATTCATTGGAACATCTGTAAAAATTATCATGAGCCAAAAATGAAAAATTGGTGGTAACATATAAATGAAAAAAAAAAAAAAAAGCTGAAAATAGTGCAGGGTTTCCAAATACAAAAAAAAAAAGTCTTGACTAATAAGACACCAGATTTAACTGTGGTTGAAAAGAAGAAACTGAATAATTGATGCGGCAACAGTACAAGATAATAGAAGACATAGATAAGATCACAAAGTATCAAGATCTGACAATTGAATTTGAAAGATTGTGGCATAAACTGGCCCTAGTGGTGCTAGTGCTTATTGGCACTACTGTGCCAAAAAATACTGGACGCATTGACAAAATTTCCATCTGTTGATTACAAAAGACCATACTGCTTGGATCTGCACATATACTGCGCTGATACATTTTGACATCCTAGGTTCTAGGGAACAACATAATGTGTATGAACACCCACACCACCTAAAAAAGTAGTAGTTGTGATTTCACATGTGTAATAATGTATTAAACTTACATTCTGCCTGATTCTCAACAATTCTGGGTGGCTCGTAACAAACGAACAAATTACAATAAAACCAATAAAAGAAAAAATGGTAAGCACGACAGCCCATATGGAATGAAGCAAAGTGTCTCACCTTGCCAAAAGCTTAGGTGAAGGTCCAGGTCTTCACAGCTCTGTGAGAGTGGGGGCCATCTCAAGGATGTATATCAAGAAAGAACAAATGAATTGAGAAGAAGACCGAGAAAGTTATCATTGGATAGAAAAACTACTCTATCCAATGATAACTTTCTCTTCTTCTTTTCAGAGAAGTTTGAAGAAAAATGGGTAGGATATGGACATGGTAGAAGGAACAGTGGTTTGCAAGGAAAAAAAGTATGGAGAGCTACAGTGCATGATGTGTTATAAATCAGGTTTAGCAATGTTTAGTTTTCTTATTTCGTTTTTTTACTGTTTTGAATTACTGTTTCTTATTCCTTTTGTGTTTTGCAGAACACACTTAGCTCAAAAGGCAATAGCATGAAGGGCATGTATGTATACAATTTTAAGTCTTATAAATATTACTATGCTAAGTGAATTAATAAAAAGGTGCAACAACACACAGAACAGGATCAAATGGACAACTACAAAATTGATCAGATAAAAAAAAAGAAAAACATCTGAAGTTATGAACGGCACAAACCCCCAAATTTTATCATATTGCTTGAAGACTAAGAGGTACAGTAAATGCAAATATTGGCAAAGTCAAAACAAAGGAAAATGTAAATATGGGCAAAGCCCACATATAAACAAACCAATATCAAGTGAAAGTGAAACTCAAGTGTAGATGTCTCCTAGCAATGGTGTATAATTCTTCTAACCAATTGCCATGCCTGAAACATTCACATTTTGACAAAATTAACATGTATCATTGTTTGTCTTACAGAAGCCATAAATCCCTATTCTGCCCTGTAGCTCTGCTGCTTGACAGATGTCAAAGAATTGCTGCTCCCAAATAGAAAGCTTCCACCTGGGATTGCTCTAACACACTATGCCTCTATCAAATCAACTCTTCCCAGCTGTGTCCCATCATATTCAGTTATCAATAAGTATAAACCAACTGATGAACAATTGGTCCTAAACTTTGGTAAACTTGGTTTCTGGCCATTAATCATCATCCTTGCCCAGAAAGCTTAATACAACCCTAGACTTGATGCTGTTTTGAAAGAAGTTTCTTGTGTTATCTTCTAAATAACTTTTTGATCAAAACGCCAAAGGTTCTGTTTGCTCCTCTCTACCATGGAAAGATCTGATGAACATGAAGATTTGTTTATTTTTACCTGACAAGGGTCTCCCCTGGACAAATCCAGCATGTGGAATAAAAAACCCAGCTCACAGCTGAGGCAGAATTCCTTCTGGCATAAATGATTCTGGACCAAACAGCGCACAGGCTCTAAGAAATAAAGAACCTATAAAGAGACGATCGGAAAACATACCATTATAGGAGGAAGAGGAATGTAGCATAGGCATGTCACAAATAAGAAACAACACTGTGCTTACCTGGATCATGCAATTGCAGTAAGCGTTTGGAATGTGGGGCTCAAGACCAGCAAAGAGGGTCTTATTGTAATGTTTGAAGTCAAAATCTTCCAGGCCCAGCTTGGAATATTTTATTGTGACCTAAATAAGACAAGCCAAAAAAAAAAATGTTCTGGTGTGACAATCTTATAAAGCCACAAGGACAGTACACCTATGGTAACTTATTTATTTATTTATTTATTTTATAAAATTTGTATGCCGCCCTGTCTCCGAGGACTCAGGGCGGCTCACAACGACAATCGACCAAGCGACTGTTAAAAACAACAAATATACATAAAGAAATCAAAAAAGTATTTTAAAAATTAAAAAATACTACCCCATCAGTCCAAGCCAGGGGACATAAATAGCCAGGTTTTTAATTCACGGCGGAAGGTACGAAGGTCAGGGGCCAACCGGAGCTCCAAGGGAAGTTGATTCCAAAGGGTGGGGGCGCTCACAGAGAAGGCTCTGCCCCTGGGTGTCGCCAGCCGACATTGTCTAGCCGACGGCACCCTGAGTAGGCCCTCTCTGTGAGAGCGTATCGGGCGATGGGAAGTTGATGCTGGTTGCAGGTGGTCCAACAAATAGCCTGGACCTAGGCCATGAAGGGCTTTATGGGTTAAGACCAGCACCTTGAATCTCACCTGGAGGGCAACCGGCAACCAATGCAAGCTGCGCAGGAGTGGTGTAATATGGGAGTATCGGGTCCCTCCCGCAACAACCCACGCGGCCGCATTCTGCACCAGCTGAAACCTCCGGGTGGTCTTCACGAGCAGCCCCAGGTAGAAAGCATTGCAGTAGTCGAATTTAGCAAAACATCGAAAGTCAGAGGCCTTAAATACTATTTTCTCTTTCACATAAACTTCCCTACAGTGCCTTGCAAAAAGATCCTAATTCAAGAAAATTCTCAGATCATAATCCCCGTTTCAACATTATGCTTGTGATATTACCATAGTAACCTTAGATTTCAACATTAGCTTTTCTTATTCCCCAGCTCAAAAATAATAATAATCTAACGAAGGAAGCTCAGCATTTTTTTTTCCCCAGATGGGGTTGAGACTTATAAGGTATGGTGCAAAAGATAGGTATTTTAATTTTTTTTCTACCTCTGCACTCTTGAGTATATTTAAACCTTTCTCTAAAGAAAAAGGTGAAGATTCTGAGAAGCACTTAAAAATGCACCTTCCTGTATTTCTTTGCCACCATATAGATCCGCGGTTCCTCTTCTCTTCCTATGGGGGATTCAGGGACTTGACTGAAATTATCAAATTCGTTGTCAAGCTCCTTTAATCGGTAGGGAATCTGCAGAAAAGAGGAACAGGCTCGTTTTCAGTTTGTCCACTTATCTTTCCCTATTTTACATTTTGCAACGCCAAAACAAAGCAGATGCACAAAAGCAATCAGATATAGTTGAAAATAACAAACCCTTCAACCCCAAAATCCATATGGCTGTTCCTTTCTCCTTCCATCTGGCTCCAAACCACACATCAATGCCACACTTTTTGCAATAATGTTAACTCCAGACTCAGCCAGAGAAAAAGACCTTTACACATCAGATATCTCTGATTCCTAATTTTCAACAACCTGAGCCACTGTGGTCCATGGTATGGAAATTTGGGAGCGTTAATTCAGTAGTATTTGTAGGATTCCCCACCTAACTATAAACGGCAAGCTCTTATGAGGCAGTCATTAATCCTATTTACTTATAGCCCCCCACATAAAATGAGCAGGTCTCAAATTTGCTACCTGATTCCGGAGCTTGGTCCTAGGGTTTGGAGCATATCCAATGAAGCCAACTTTCTTCATGGTCCGAAGGATATCTGGATCAACAGGTGGAGCTCGTCTGCAAAATAGGCAATCATTCAATCATTTTTAAAATCTCTTTAATCATTCCTTTTAATGCTATGCTCCCCAAACAGTGAGGATTATACCACCAAACTTCCCATCTCAAATGATGCTACTTTCACACAGCTTGCATCCTCTTCTTACCACTCCTAGGTTGAAGAAGTACCTGGGTGCCGGGATAGAAGTGGCCGCAGGCCAGTCAGACAGCAACGACTCAGTGGTCAGAGGTACAGGTATAAGTGACAAGGGCATGAGATCTTGGTTCCAGTCAAGGTGGGGCAAGGTATCCACAATGCAAGGTAAGGCAAAGTCAGTTTCCCGGGAGTAGGCGTTGAAGGTGATCTCAGGTGAATCAGCCCACAAGTGGACACAGCCTTCCGAGTCTCCAAAAACCATAGCTTGTTTGCTGGATGACACATCAAAGCTCATTATTAGCTGTCCCACTGTATTAACATGAAATATGTCAGCAGGATTGGCTAATCCCGTAGGTTCACAGAACTGACATTGACCTGGAACAGAAAGCAAAAGAAGAAATGAATTCTCTCTGGATTTTTAACATAACATTCCCCACATGACTTCGCTTATTTTCTAGGGTTACATTTTGATGAAATATGGGTGGAATTTTAAAGTTCCTGCACAATGACGATCAAATTTTGAGGTCAATGGACAATTCGGCTGGCTACTTGCCTGTCTGGGAGATGATGGCCAGGCGAGATGTGTAGGTAGGAATAAACTTAAGAAACAGAGGATCAATATGGACCTGCAGGGGTGTAATGGCTCGCAGCATGCGCAAATCGTACACCTTGAGGAAACGATCACAAGCTAGGCCGTTCATTCGACTGGAGAAGCCACACGTCACCAACAGATTGCCATGGACATCAAAATCAGACAAACTGCCTGAGTAGGCATCAAACTCGTGTTCTACAGCAAAAGTGCGGAGATCACGCAGGGAAACCTAATGAAAAAGCCTAAGATATATTATATGAGAGCTGCTTATAGCTATCGGAAGCCAAGGGGTTGAAATAAAGAGGTTGATATTACCTTTCCTGATGTGTGACCACAAAAGAAGAAACGGTTGGACTGCCTCATAATTGTAACTCCAGGAATTTCCACCGAATACTAAAATGGATAGAGATAGAGATATAAGCTGGAGTTAAAAAAAAAAACTTGGACAGGGAAAATTTAAGCCGTTGTTCCTTTTTAACCAAAACATCCACCGACTGCCAGGAAAGGGGTGTTGCTACACTACCATTGTGACCCCTTTTGTCTTCTCTTCATATCTGTATTGTGATTTTGTATTATGATCTTATTCTTAACATTCGAAACGCAGATAACAAGTTCGTTTTGAAATATGCAAATTAATTTAACATACCCAAAATTTTTGTGAGCAGAACATGATTTTTATTTCAACAGTACCTCTTTGGGGTAGAGTATTGGTATTCCCACTGGTCATAACAAGAACCAGTACTGTCTGAAAAATTTATCACTGGGAGGGAACAGTATTTCTCAATGAATTCTCTCTCTCTCTCTCTCTCTAACATGAGCTAAGCAGTATCTCTTCTGCTTTAGACTCACAGTTTGTTTATAAGACTGAGAGAAATTGACATTTCAGTAGAAACTCTTATTGCCTTCACCAGATATCTGTGTTTAACCAACCCATGCTGTGCAGCAATATGAGATTCTTAGAATCAATTCCACAGTAAAACAACATGGTACCTTCTGGGTTTCCTGCACTGTGTTGAGGTCTATTTCAATCACATGGCTGGTTAGGCCTCCAACAAGCAAAGTGCCAGGATCAGTCAGTAAAAGGCTGTGCATGTCCTCATTTTCATCCATGCTTCAGGAGAAAAAGGGAACAGTTGAGGCCAGATCTGATTGATATCTTCCATTCACACATGATTTTCTTATACCTTTTTAAGTAAATACCCTTCTCCCCCCCAAAATAAGACATCCCCTGATAATAAGCCCAATCGGGCTTTTGAACGCATGGCAATAAGGCCAAGTGCTTATTTAAGGGTTCAAAAAAATATAAGACAGGATCTTATTTTCAGGGAAACACGGTATAGACAATGTTACATCACCAAAAAAAACAAACAAACCAAAAACCGCCTGTGATATTGACAGATATTGACCCTGCCCCTTATTCTTCCTGAGAAAAGACAGACTATGAAATATAAACTACAGTTTCTATGGGATTTTTCAAATAGGAAATAATCGGCTATGGCATGCAATGCATCAGAAGCATAAAACGAAAAAGCCCACATCATGGTTCTGAAATTCTGTCTTTTCCATCAGTCAGCAATGAACAACATTTTGTGGACTAAAATCCCTAATCAATCTTTGCATGATAAACTACATGATTCCTATAATATAGAATCTCTTCTCTTATAAAAAGTTTTGGTTTTATCATACTTGGGGTTTACCAAAGAGGATAATTAGATTTAACTGGAAAGAAAGGCAACTTCCTGATATGAAGTTGTTCTCTACATTTGAAAAGTCTTTTGCTCTAAAAAGACTGAATATTATACAATCCAGATTCAATAAACTAAATAAATGAAGTGATTTCACAAAGACATTTATACTTAGCGTACGTACACTGCCCAGAGTGTACGGAGGACAGTTAAGAAATATGAAATATAAATAAATATGGATTGTTTATTATTTGTTATGTTTGGTTAATTTAATCATGGGAATATACTTAATTCCTGTTTCACTTTATTATCATAATTCAATGTAGACCTTTACTGTATTTTACTATTTTAATAATATATTAAAAATGGTATACTATAGGCTGAACTCCATAAAATGGATGCGATCTGAACAAAAAGAGGGTGAGACTAGGACAAAAATTGTGGGGAGAATTCCTAAATCTGTCTTATCCTAAGGACATGCAATTTCATGGAAGACCAACATCATGATTCAGTGCCTAAATATCTATTTTTAATAATAATTTTTATTGAACTTTAAAAACACAAAGGTAAAAAAATCAATGCTAAGAAAAATATAACAATTTTTCAACCAAAAGTATTTTCCTTCTATATTTCATATTTTATCTATCAGAAATAATACTCATTGTTCAATTTTAATCAGTAAAACTGCATTAAGAATTAACAGAATTTATGTGTATGTGTGTATTAACCTTAAACAAATAAATCAATTTCATATTCTTTTCCTTTTCTTTACCCAATAATTTCTTTAAAAAGAAAGCCAAAAAATCTCTTAGTTCCTTATCTTATATCTATAAACAAATCTTTAAAGTCTCATCATTCAATTTTAGTCAACAAAAAATCCATTAACAACCACCAGAAACAATGTATTGAAAACCTTGATACTTAATCCCTTCAAATAATATTCCACAAATTAATTTTTTATCATTTTCTCTTCATCTCTCAGAAATTCTGTCACAAGCACTTGCCATTTTTTATCACTTTTTCGAAACATGAAACAAAAATTCTTCTTGCTGTATCTTATCTATAAAAGTTCATTAAAGCCTCATCATTTATTCCTGGTCAAGAAAAAAACCATTAAAGGCCACTTGAAAAAAAAATATAATTTAACCTTAATTGAATAAACCAATTTAATAATCCTTTGTTTTGCTTTTTAAAATCTTGATATTTATTTTTTTCAAGTAATATCTCAAAAGCTAATTTGTTTTCCTTTTCTAAAAAATTTGCCCAAGTCACTTTTCTGAGTTGAAATCCACACATTCAAGGCAATCTTTAGATTTATTATTTGAGTGTCTCTTCTAGCTATTAAAACGTCAGCCAGTTTCATTTACAAGTCCTTATAACTTCTTTGTTAGCATCATTTTTGTAGCGTCATTTTTAAATCCATATCCAAAACAGCCTGATTATCAGTTGTATTCTCTTCTATCTTCTCCTTTAAATTCATTTGTATAGTAACAATCTTAAGAAATACCTCTGAGTAAATTGTTGTCAAAGATCCTTGAATTCTTTCAAAGTGATTATATAATCACTTTTGTTTTTAATCTTATAATACTACAAGCTGCTCAGAGTCTCTAGAAATAGAACGATACATAAGTTGTAATAATAAATATATAATAAATACATTTACAAAATCTTAATCCATTTCTGGTGTGCACCATTCACTTCTAAGAACTGCTAAACTAACCTCTGGAATGGCACACATTTCCAAGACTAAGTCTAGCATTGCTCAGAGAGAAACGAAATATTGAAGTAGTTTGTGGGAATGTTCTGTTCCCTGATTTACAAAGTTTGCACATCCTTTTAAATTAGATTTGCCTTAAATTCTGTCATGCTTGAAAATGCAATTCAGCACGAGGTTTTTCTAATAATTGCATTCAAGGTTTTTTAGAAAGCAGGCTAAAACCCCTTGCTGAATATAAAGAAGAGGTGAAAAGAAACTATAAGTATCTTGCAATCATCCAAGAGCTCCTATAAATAGAAGGTACTTACAGGTAATCAAAGATTATGAGCCCACCTCTTGACATGTATTTTAGGTTGTTTTTGGTTAGAAAGAGAACACCATTTTCCAGGCTTTGGATCTGTCGAATGTCATCACTACTGTGTACCTGGAAGGAAGAATATCGTTCCAGGGCTGGACCAAAGAAAGAAGTGGCATGACCCTAAAACAGAGAGAGGCAAGTCAATCAACCTTTTTCAACAATGGGCTGAACGTGCAGATACTGCAATGAGTGAGACTTTTTTAAAAAATCCAAATGTGCCCAATTCACTGTCTTCTCAATCAAAGGGCCAGTTTCCTTTTTATTCTCATGAAATCTTCTGTTTCTTTCACCTAGTCAAATATGTAATACTGTCTGTTAAGTCAATTAATCTTAGCTTATTCTTCCTTTGGCTAACATACATGTCACTGTTTGGTCAAATATAGTGAGATCACAAAGTAACTAAGTTACAAACCATTCATCTGTTTCAGTTTCTTTCTTTTTTTTTAATAATTTTTATTAATATATTCTATGCACCAATACACAAATGAAATATACCATCCTGCCACCATGGTGTAGTATGAGTACATTGTCCATAAATATAAAGTCATTCCTTTATACATACATACTTGCCATCATATATATACATCATCATATAACTATTCTATCCCACGTTTTCTGGACCCAATCGTACCATAATTTCCAACTGTTATAAAATTCTGAATCTTTTTTACCATTGATCAGTCTAGTTAATCTATCTGATTCCGCACGCTCATTAATTTTATATATTATTTTCAAATCCATCGGTAAGTATTAATTTTTCTACTCCTGCGCATACGCTAATCTTGCTGCAGTAATAATGTGAATCAACAAAAACCATATACCTGATTTAACATTCAAAGGTTTTGCCCCCAACAGGAAAATCTCGGGCCTTAATTCCAAACTGATCTGTGTAATTTCCAAATTACACAGTATTTAACCGCAGGCAGTTAAATATTAGAAATATTGGAAATATTGAAAAAAAATACGGCAATGGATTTTGGAAATTACATCTGTTTCAGTTTCAAAGACTGTATTCTATCTTTTCCTAAAATCATCCATCAAGGCCACCAAGTTAATTTGAAGTCCATCCTTCCTCAGAGAATGGTCTAATACAAACATATAATCAATTTTAATCAAACCTGGCACACAAACAAAAAAAATCTACTTACTCCATGGTTTCCCACCCAGAGCATTTCTTCATGTAGGTCAAAGTGGGAGAAGGAAACAGGTACGCCCACTTCTGAAACAACAGTGTGGAGTTCAGAATACATGCCCTCCATGATATGCACTGAGTCAGGCACAGCGATGCCTTCCAGAGGGACCCCCTCTGGATCCAGCTCCACATTCTGTAACAGGCTTGGGTTGAGGTGTGGATCTAGGGCAGGATGTAGGGAAGGAACATATTCTGCAAGGGCTGGATCAAGACCTTCAAAATTCATGGTGGGTGTTTATCTGTATAGCGGAGGGGGAAAAATACAATCCTTAATTTCCCATTTAATATAAATATGGTAGAAATATTCACTTAATTTATTTATTTATTTGTTTGTTTGTTTAAATTTCTATACCGCCCTTCTCCAATGTAGGACTCAGGGCGGTGAACAGCCAAAGTAAAAACAAGACATACATACAAAACATACAAAATCTAAAATCTGTTTAAAATAATTAAATAATTTTGGCCGTAATTAAAACATTCCAATTTAAAATCCGTTTAAAATTTGACTCAAGCCAGCCCAGCTAGTTGAAATAAATGGGTTTTTAGGGCCCGACGAAAAATCCGGAGGTCTGTTATTGTACGTAGCTCTGGGGGGAGGTTGTTCCAGAGGGTGGGCGCCGCCACAGAGAAGGCTCTCCCCCTGGGGGTCGCCAGCCGACATTGTCTGGCGGACGGCACCCTGAGGAGGCCCACTCTGTGGGAGCGTACTGGCCGGTGGGAGGCTATTGGTGGCAGAAGGCGGTCTCGTAAGTACCCCGGCCCTAAGCCATGGAGCGCTTTAAAGGTGGTCACCAACACCTTGAAGCGCACCCGGAAGACCACCGGGAGCCAGTGCAGCTCGCGCAGGAGAGGTGTCACGTGGGAGCGCCTCGTCGCCCCCAAAATCCCCCGCGCGGCCGCGTTCTGGACCAGCTGGAGCCTCCGGGTGCACCCCAGGGGGAGCCCCATGTAGAGAGCGTTGCAGTAGTCCAGGCGGGAAGTGACGAGTGCCTGAGTGACTGTGCGTAGGGAGTCCCGATCTAGAAAGGGGCGCAACTGGCGTATCAGGCGGACCTGATAAAAAGCCCCCCTGGCCACGGCCGCCAAATGATCTTCTAACGACAGCCGTGCGTCCAGGAGGACGCCCAAGTTACGAGCCCTCTCCGTGGGGGCGAGTGATTCGCCCCCAATAGCCAGCGATGGCGTCAGCTGGCTATATCGGGACGCCGGAAGCCACAGCCACTCGGTCTTGGAGGGGTTGAGTTGGAGCCTGTTTCTCCCCATCCAGGCCCGCACGGCCTCCAGGCACTGGGACATCACTTTAAGGGCATCATTGGGGTGGCCTGGGGTGGAGATGTACAGCTGGGTGTCATCAGCGTACTGATGGAACTCCACCCCGAAGCCACGGATGATCTCACCCAGCGGCTTTACATAAATGTTGAACAGAAGGGGCGAGAGGACCGACCCTTGTGGCACCCCACAAGCAAGGTGCCTCGGGGTCGACCGCTGCCCCCCTGTCAACACAGATTGCCACCAGTCAGAGAGGTAGGAGGAGAACCACCGCAAAACGGTGCCTCCCACCCCCAACCCCGCCAACCGGTGCAACATGATACCATGGTCGATGGTATCAAAAGCCGCTGAGAGGTCTAACAGGACCAGGATAGAGGAGCAACCCCTATCCCGGGCCCTCCAGAGATCATCCACCAATGCGACCAATGCCGTTTCCGTGCTGTGCCCAGGCCGGAAGCCGGACTGGAGCGGGTCTAGATAGACAGCTTCATCCAGGTACCGGGGAAGCTGTTGCGCCACCACACTCTCAACAACCTTCGCAATGAAGCGAAGGTTGGAGACTGGACGATAGTTAGCCAAAACAGCCGGATCCAGAGAAGGCTTCTTGAGGAGGGGCCTCACCACCGCTTCTTTCAAAGCGGCCGGCAGGACCCCCTCACTCAAAGAAGCGTTAACAATCTTCTGGAGCCAGCCTCGTGTCACCTCCCGGGAAGCCAGTACCAACCAGGAGGGACACGGGTCCAATAAACATGTGGTCGCGTTCAGCCGTCCCAGGACCCTGTCCATGTCCTTGGGAGCCACAGGATCGAACTCCCCCCAGATAACACTCTCAAGACCTGCCTCAGTCATCCCATCTGGACATACCCAGTCAGAGGCCAGCCCTTCCCGAATCTGAGCGATTTTGTCATACAGATACTGCACAAAATCCTCAGCTCGACCCTGCAAGGGGTCATCCCGCACTTCCAGATGGAGGAGGGAGCGGGTCACCCTAAACAGGGCGGCCGGGCGATTATCTGATGACGCGATAAGAGCGGCAAAATAGTTAGTTTTTGCCGCTTTTATCGCCACTAGGTAGGTCTTAATATGAGACCTCACCAGTGTTCGGTCAGGTTCGGAGCGGCTGGTCCTCCAACTACTCTCCAGGCGTCTTTTCCGGCGCTTCATCTCCCTAAGCTCCTCGGAAAACCAAGGAGCTAGGTGAGTTCGGTGCTGGGTCAGAGGCCGCAAAGGCACGACTCGGTCCAAGGCCCCGGCAGCCGCACTATCCCAGGCGGCCACCAGGTCTTCGGCCGAGTCATGAGCCAGAATCTCAGGAAATGGCCCAAGCTCCATCTGGAACCTATCAGGGTCCATCAGGAGCCTGGGGCGGAACCACCTGGTCGGTCCCGCCTCCCTGCGGCAGGGTGCAGCGGTTAGAAAGTCCAGTCGAAGGAGCGAGTGGTCAGACCATGACAAGGGTTCGATGGCTATATCCCCTATATCAAGGCCACTCAACCACTGACCAGAGACAAAAACTAAGTCCAGAGTGTGTCCTCCTGTGTGAGTGGGGTCATGAATTAACTGAGTAAGGTCCATGGCCGTCATGGAAGCCATGAACTCTCGAGCCACCTCAGACGTTTCACCGATAGATGGCAGGTTGAAATCCCCCATGATGGCAAGTCTGGGGGTGCCCACCACCACCTCGGCTATAACGTTAAGGAGCTCGGGCAGGGCCGTTGCCACGTGGCAGGGAGCCAGGTACGTGACCAACAGGCCCATCTGTACTCCACGACCCCACTTCACAAAGAGGGACTCACATCCGGCTATCTGTGGAACAGTGGTCTCCCTTGGATCCAGACCTTCCTTTATAATAACCGCCACCCCCCCGCCCCTGCCCTGAGCCCTCGGCTGATGAAATGCACGGAAGCCTGGTGGGCATATATCCACGAGGGGGACTCCCCCCTCCTGGCCCAACCAGGTCTCCGTAATGCCCGCCAGGTCCGCCTCCCCCTCCTGAATAAGATCGTGGATGAGGGGGGCTTTATTAACAACGGACCTGGCGTTGCACAACATCAGCCGGAGGCTCTGGCCCTGAGAATCTGAACAACCTGGGGAACAAGAAAAGCATTGGGGACCGGAATGCGCAATCGCTCTAAGATAGCGCGTGCGCATTCCCCGCACATGATATGGTCCCCAGCTTCCGCCATATCTGCCCCTCCCACTCACTGTGCTGATGGAACAGCCCTCTTCAAATCGAACTCCAACCCCCTCCCCGACCTCCGGTTCTACATCCCTAATGTCGCAGCCCTTCGCTAAGGCTGGTCTTGAACCCGGTGGATTTCCCCCAGAACCCACCCTAATCCCCCCCGAACCCCTTAAAATTTTTGTTAAAAAAACTCACTAAAAAACCCACTTAAAAAACCCCTCAAACTCTTCTTAGCCGCATGCCATCTCTCGGGGCTCCAACGCCCGTCATCAAGATTAATGAGTACAATAAGTTCTTCTCTTAGTCCTAAATTTGAACCAAAGTGTAAAATAAAATCAACTGAGTTATGTACACGTGTCAAGCAATCTGGTTATCCTAATTATCAATAGAAGTCTTTAGAAAAGCAGGCAGAGACTATCTACAATACTAGTGCATTCCATTTCTGATCAGAGAAGATTGCTCATGTTCAAATCTTACACTCAAAGGTCACAATCTAAGAAAGAAAGTGAGACAAAGGATTACATACAATAACTCCAGATAAGGGAATAAATTATGAGTAACATGCAATTTTAACCCAACAGAATATTGGAAAGAAGTTATATAAAAAGGCTAATTTTCCAAAAGCAAGATAGTTCTCCCTAACTAAACAGAATGTGTGTGGAGGAGAGGAAGGGAAGAGAGAAGCCAGAAAAAGAAAGACTGCTGTAGACAACAAAAAAGGCCTAATTTTTGCCCCAATGTATCCTTATAGTGGAGGCAGTTGCACAGTGCATTAAAATGTTGCTGGCTACTCCATTCTTTTCTTTTCTTTTCTTGAAATATTTTTTGTGTTATCTCATACATTCCATTTCTATGTTGAGCAGTGCGTTCTTTAGGTGTCCATGCTGGCTACTCCATTCTAAGCCCCTCCTCTTGGTCATGTGACCAATATCCAAGCTACTATTGAGGGGTTGGAAATAATTCCAGAAGCAGGCATTGGTTTTTCCTTGCCTTGTTTATTCTCATGCTATCTATGGTGATGTCGTATACTGCTGTACAATTATTTCCTGAAGAATTACATGACCATTTTTTAAACTGAACATTCGGATAAATATACTCGGCATATATTCACTACTGAATTCAAGAAGGTTTACTCTCAAAACTATGCATTACTCATTTAAAAAATGGAATTAAAAAACTGCAGCAGATAAAGAATGAATTACTAAAAAATAGAAGAGAATAAATATGAGTAAAAATAGAGTAATTAGAACTTGAGGGCGAATGAAGATGTTGTTTATATAAATAAGCATAGAAATTATAAGATATGATCAAAAAACATGGAAAAAGAAGGTTTTGGCAGAAACTGTAGCTCATTGGCATCCTTCAGTCTCAAGAGACTATGGTATCGTGCTCTGGAAAGAGGTCCATAACAGCATCTAGTGTGTCTAAAAAGGCCAATCCGAGAGTGGCAATCCCTTCCACACTGAAGGCAGATACATTCTGTCCCCTGCCCAGCCCCCAGATTTCGCTGGTTCCGGGACTGCCTCTTTGCCTCAGCCTATCGAACAAGTGTCTCTTCGAATTGGAGAAGGCCATGCTGCGTCTTTAGCCTCCAAGCTTAACGATCGGAGGTCAAGGTTTCCCAATTGTTAATGTCCATTCCCAGGGCCTTTAGGTCCCTCTTGCAGATATCCTTATATCGCAGCTGTGGTCTCCCTCTGAAGCACTTTCCCTGCACTAATTCTCCATACAGGAGATCTTTCGGAATCCGACCATCAGCCATTCTCACGACATGCCCCAGACAGC